GTAAGTGTGTGTGTGTGGGGGGGGGGGGGGAGGGCGGAGGGAGAGGGAGGGAGGGAGGCGACTCGCTCCTGCACAGCAAGTAAGTGGGGGGAGGGGGAGAAAGGGGGGAGGGAGAGGGAGGGAGGGAGGCGACTCGCTCCTGCACAGTAAATAAGCGCATCTGAAGAGAGGAGGAAGAGGGACGGAGGTAGGGAGGGAGGGGAAAGGGAGAAAGTTGTGGAGGGAGGGAGGTAGAGAGAGAGAGAGAAGAGAGAGAGAGAGAGAGATTTAGTTTTTATTTATCTTTTTCTTTCTTTTTATTCGTATATACATATATTTTCTCCTTCTTTTCTTTTTTCTTTCCTTCTCTCTTTTTGTTCCTTTTTTCCGTTATCATTTACGTCATTTCCTTTGTTACACATTTTTCGTTTTCCTTTTGGTCCAGTTTATTATGATCAATTTTTTCCCCGTCTCTTCTCGTATTTCTCTTTCATTTAATACATTCCTCCGTTTATTGCTATTTCTTTTAAGAATATTATTTTCTGCTTTCTGGCTTCTCCTTCTTTTCCATTTTCTATATGTGTTATATATTTCCCGTTTTCCTTTTATATGGATTTTTCGTTTTCTTTTTCATATATTATTCCCCGTTTTCTTTTCCCGTTTTCTTCTGCGATGTCACAATTGGAGACCGGAAACTTAACTATTGAGGGAAAAAATTAAAATAGCGTTCGAAAACTGTCTTTATTAAGGCAGCTATGTTTGCCTTCGTACGATGTGAAGGCTAAAGACAAAGACTTCCTGGAGGGAGGAGGGAAGGAAGGAGGGAGGGCAGGAGTGTGGGAGGGCAGGGAGGGAGGGAGGAGGGAGGGAGGGAGGGAAGGAGGGAGAGAAGGAAGGTGGGAGGAAGGGAGAAGGGAGGGCAGGAATGAGGGAGGGAGGGAAGGAGGGAGAGAAGGATGAAGGAAGAGAAGGAAGGAAGGAGGAGGGGAAGGAATTAAAGAAGGGGGGTGGGAGGGAGGGAAGGAAAGAAAAAGAGAGAGAGGGAGGGAAAGAAGGAGGGAGGCAGAGGGAATGAAGGAGGGAGGGAAGGAAGGAAAGAAGGAAGGGAAGAAGGACTGAGGGAGGGAAGAAAGTAGGGAGAGAGAAGGAAGGAGGGAAAGAAGGAGTGAGGGAGGGAAGGAAGTAGGGAAGGAGTGAGGGAGAGGGAAGGAAGGAGGAAGGGAGGGAAGGAAGGAGGAAGGGAGGGAAAGAAGGAGGGAGGGAAGGAAGGAAGTGGGAGGGATGGAGTGAGAGGGAAGGAAGGAGGGAAGGAAGTAGAGAGAGGGAAGGAAGGAGGGAGGAAGAGGTAAGGAAGGAGGGAAAGAGAGGGGGAAAAAAGGAAAGAAAGAGAAAATCTTAAAAAGGGAAAAATATCCGGAGCTCTTCTTGGTCCGCGGCCGACCTTCACGAGCTATTTTCAAAGCCTCCAACGCTTCGCCGCAACATTGCATTGCAACCTCGCCCGACCTGTTGCAAGGGGAGTGAGGATGTTATGAGGAGAAAAGGGGGGGGGGGGGGGAAGAGATGGGAGGAAGGGGAAGGGGGAGGAGGGAAGGAGGGAAGGAGGAAGAGAGGGGAGGAGAAGGAAGGGAAATGGGAAACGGGAACAGGTAGAAGGAGATTGAGGGAAGGACGGAAGGAGGGAATAAGAAAGGGGAGAGGAGAAAGGGGAAGGAGGGGAGTAGGAACAATATAATTATTCATTATCATCATTATTATTATCATTATCACTATTATTATTATTATTATTATTATTATTATTATTATTATTATTATTATTATTATCAGTATTATTATTATTATTACCATTATTACTATCATTATTATCATTATTATTGTTATTATTATTATTACTATTATTGTTATCATATTCATATGATTATCATCGTTATTATCATTACTATCATTACTATCATTATCATTATTACTATAATTATTATCAATATCCTTATTATTATCATTATTACCATTACTTGTATTATTGTCATTGTTGTTATTATTACCATTATTATTATCATCATCATTACCATCATTGTTATTATTATTATTATGATAATCATTATCATTAATGTAATAACTACTATTATAACTAACTACTACTAACTACTATCATCATTATTATTATTTACATTTTTTCATTATTTAGAGTTATTATTATTTTTATTATATGCTGTTGCGTTTTTATTATCAGTAGAATAATTACTATTACAATAATTATTGTTATTATTCTTCTTATTGTTATTGTCATTATCATTTTCAGTGTAGTAGTAGCAGTGCTGCTAATCCTCTCATTATCGTCATTAGCAGTAATTACTGTAACTATCATTATTCACCCAACCATAATCCTCAAAGTAATTTATCATTCCATCTTTTATTACCATTATCTACTCAATCATCTGATTCTTATTGTCAGAATTGTCAATAATATTTCTCAAGTGTTCAGCGCCTTTCAGCTCATTTCGTGTTGATGTCATTGTTTTCATACCTTTAACTGGACATTTCCCATTGAAGTTTGTTGCTAACGTCAAAATCCCTTTTTATAATCAATATATGTAATGTATCAAAACAAACTTGAGTGTTGTGCGTTTGCCTGGATGTATTCACGTTCTGTATAAACGTGTGTATGTAAAGTGTGTAAATATGCACGCCGGAATTTATACATCTATTCATTTTCTATGTATAATATGTGCATTTTTTTCTTCCCAGTATGTCATATAATCAAGACAGATTATAACCTTTGCTATGGTTGACTCATGTTCAGTGTTGTATTCAAGTTTCTTCAATTGACCAAAATTTATGATATAAACAGTTGACGTTACAGCACACATTCCTTGCAGACAATATTCGGTGTTATGAGATCTTATCTGGGAACTCTTGTTGTAAAAGACATCGCTTTTGCTGAGATAGAGCCTCGTAGAATGGGTGTTTAATAGAGTTTGTCGTAACTCATTTTCCTTTGTGTAACTGTTTGTCTGTATCTCTGTCTCTCTCCCCCCCCTCTCTCTCTCTCTCTCTCTCTCTCTCTCTCTCTCTCTCTCTCTCTCTCTCTCTCTCTCTCTCTCTCTCTCTCTCTCTCTCTGCCTCTCTCTCTCTCTCTCTGTCTCTGTCTCTGTCTCTGTCTCTCTCTCTGTCTCTCTCTGTCTGTCTGTTTGTCTGTCTCTCTCTCTCTCTCTGTCTGTCTGTCTGTCTCTCTCTCTCTCTCTCTCTCTCTCTGTCTGTCTGTCTCTCTCTCTCTCTGTCTGTCTGTCTGTCTCTCTCTCTCTCTCTCTCTCTCTCTCTCTCTCTCTCTCTCTCTCTCTCTCTCTCTCTCTCTCTCTCTCTCTCTCTCTCTCTCTCTCTCTCCGTCTATCTCTCTGTCTCTGTCTCTGTCTCTCTGTCTCTGTCTCTGTCTCTCTCTCTCTCTCTCTCTCTCTCTCTCTCTCTCTCTCTCTCTCTCTCTCTCTCTCTCTCTCTCTCTCTCTCTCTCTTACGATGCAGTCAGTATAGACTGTAATACGAGTTATGACGACAATACTTTTTTATTACACAGAAGACTGCTACAATCTAGTGTCTCTATCTTGATTAGTTTATTCACTGTCAGAATCTTGTCTTCCAGACAAAATAAAAGAGAAAAAGAAAGAAAACGATTGCAGTATAATTGAATCATTAATAATTACATTTGCAATATAATAATAATAGATATAGTAATAATAGTAATGATAATGATGCTATCAAGTCAACCATTGAAGCTCGAAAGAAAACATCACAACCAAACATTGACCAAGCTACATTTTTCCCTTTCAACCTTCCATGTTTGAAGCGATCAGACCAGCCTCAGGTGGGAAACACCACAGGACCAGAGGAACTATACATTTACATGCTTATCGGAGCTGCATGACCAAAGACGCTTTGCACTGCATTGTACAGTATATACCTTAGTGTTATCGTTGTAAAGACCCTTCTGCATTTTTAGCTTGTCTTGTCTTTTATTCGTCATTTTTCAGTTTTTTTGCACATTCACAGCGTAAGTGATACAAGAAAAATGAAAGCTGGGTTTTTAGTGCATGTTTGTTACAAACGTTTTTGATTTTCTAAGTATCCGCACGCCAACACAACGCCTGTTTAACGCCGGACTTCAGGTGAACTCCGGCTGAAGGTAATCATGCATGTGAACAAAATTTTAACAACTGTCATTAAAGATTTTGTTTACAACTGTATAAATTTTGTCAATGAAATGCTCTTATCTGTTGTTTTTAATTAGTTTAGACAAACAAGCACGTGACGTGAATGCCTCATTGCTTGTTTAGTGCAACTAGCATGAACATGGCTGCAACAAAACCTGCAGGTTAGATATCTTCCACTATTTTCAAATGTACTGGCAATCTGTCTCTCTGCTGTCATACTTATATAAATGTGAGAACTTTTATTGCATTACTTCGTGCGCGGAATACTAATAATGTTTTAAGGACATTTATTCACTTATTTTATTATTTACTTATTTCAGCTCACGTGTTCATCTCTTTGCTTATTTACTTATTCATCAATTATTGAATACTTTGAAAATTCCATACATGTGTTGATGATTTTATGCTAAATAGTCTGCAATAAATCATGTAGTCTCTGTTATTATCTCTATATCTTTTAAATGAATACATTGATTTATGTTAAATGTTCGTGTAGCTTAACGTTTTGTGTGTATTTGTGATATATGGTGTATTTTTTTTAGTTGGTAATAAGTTTGATGATGATGAAAATATTAAGATGATGATGATAGTGATGATGATGATGATGATGATGATGATGATGATGATGATGATGATGATGATGATGATAATGATAATGGTGATAATAATAGCAATGATGATAGCAATAATGATAATAACTATAAAAACAATAGCTATCAGAGTGATTAGGATAAGAATAAGTATGATAATAGTAATAATGATGATGATAGTAATAATAATAATAATAATGATAATGATGATAATAATGATAATAATAAT